TTATTTTTCGTGAGCAATTTCTATCGCTTGTTGAACATTTTTTATTGTCATATTATATTGTCGAGTAGATAAATATAATTTCGCCAAATTGTGATATACTACAGCTAAAACAGGATGACTTTTTGATAGTTTCTTTTCACGTATTTCTATTCCTTTTTGATAATATAACAATGCCGTTGTATAATCTTTCATTTGACGATAAGTTTCACCTAAATTTATATATGTCGTTGCACATTCAAGAGGATTACATTGAATATTTTCTTGAATATTTAACGCTTTTCTATGAAATGTAAGTGCCTTCTCATGATCACCCATTAATCGATGAACATCACCAATATTACTGTATGTAATGCCAAAATATGGATGCCCTTCAGGTAATGTTTTTTGATCTATTTCGAGGCGTTTTTGAAAGTAATCGAGCGCCTTTGAGTAATCTTTCATACTGCGATAAACCTTTTCAAACCAGCTGTATGTTGAAGCAAAAGCTGGATTACCTTCTTCAAAAATTTTTTGCTGAATTTGATAAGCACTTTTAAGGGTTTTAAGAGCTGTTGTGTAATCACCCATCTTTTCGTAACATGCTGCAAAATTCAATTGACTAACAGCCAAATGAGGATGATTCGAAGGCAGAGCTTTTTCGTAGATTTTATGTGATTTTTCGTAAAATTCAAGTGCTTTTAAGTAGTCACCCATGTTGTTATACCGAAGACCAATGTGGTTGTAGTAATGAGATAATGAAGGGTGATCGTGTGGAAGAGTTTTACGTTCAATTTTAAGTGCGTTTTCCAGAAGTGAAGCTGCTTCTGTGTACTCTCCGAACTCCTTTTTCGCACATGCAAGCTAGGAATATATATCTGCTCTATCGCTATCATCCGATGCCTGTTCTAGTAGTGCCAGATACAAGTCTTCGGCCTTGCCGAATTGACCTATTTTGAGCAGCAATTGACCCATTAGATACCATTCGGTACCGCTGACCTATTTCCGTATAAAGTCAGTTAATTCTCGAAGTTGTGGGTCATTATCCGACGTAAGTTTAAGGTCCACTTGATAAAGTGCACGATTATTGTCAATTTTTCGAACTTCACCAATGCGAAACACCGTGTGCATGGAGAAGAGAATTTTCTCTTCATCTTTGAAGTAACTTTCCTCTCGAATGGAGGCGAATGGAGTTGATGAGACTGTAGGATCAATGGTTATTCGAAATATAATTCTGACCATATCGGTCATCTGTAAAGCTCCGTTGGAGAAAACGAGGGTGACATCTGGATTTGTGCTGGTGGATAAAAAGTTGTTAAAAGAAATAAGTCCACCTTTGTTTTCTGCGTGCTTTTCAAAATCTGCTTTCGATAGACCTTGTCCTCGAAAGACTGTAAAAATCTTGTTATGGTATTGACTGACCTGATTCTTGTACAAGGTTTCGATTTGACGATGTACATCACAAAGAAAGAAACCCATTCGAATCATAATGTCGCTATTGAGTGTTCTTAACGCGCCATTGAGCATTTTATAGGTGAACCATTGGCGTGTATACAACCAAATGGCTTTTGTTGCGTGATAAGTACGTTCAAAATCTGCAATGTTCTTCATTTCCTGGGTATTGTCTTTGTATTCGTTTCGGCAAAATGTGATCAAGTCTTCAAAGTCTTGATGACAATGTTCTATCTCAAGGAGTAGTTCCTTGAATATTTGGAAATACATAAAAGACGGTTCTAGCTGATTCAGATTCTTGCTAGAATCTCTTGCATTCACACCAACAATGCTCACCGACATATGATCTTGATTGCATTGTTTGATAGCTGTTGGCAATTTTTCACATATATGTTTGATTGTCGTTTGGACATCTTGGATTTTTGTCTAATTTCGAGCCCAATCTTGATACCGTTCTTTCTTACGACAAAAAATGTATATGGCATTTAATTTTTCCATGCCATGGATACTTGGTACAAGATGTTGTCCAATCGCACCTGAGGAGATAACAAATGATATCTTTTCAGGATTTCCATTCAGCTGTTGAATACATTCTTCAGCTGTTGTACACAGATTGACTTGGTTCACAACACCACGCAATTGTTTCATTGTATTTTGGCAATCTTTATTGGCCATATCAATATTGCTGTCAACCCAGATAGCCGAGTAATTTTCAACGATGCACTGTCTTGGTTGTCGACTCATTTTGTATGTAATGTTTCGTGTGCGATAGGTAGTTGTGTATTGTGAATAGTAAACTGCTGTTTGAACAGAATTTACCTTTTGTATTTATACATTTGATGCACGTTGTTTTCTTTTCTAGATTTTTTCCGACTTGAAATATGAATATTTTGTTTTTTCGTTAACACTCAATAACAAAATATGCCTATTAGTAATTGAACGTATGCTTATCAAAATAAATTAAAGGGAAAAAACCAACGACATCATTGATCGTATGATAATTTTTTCCTACTTTCATTTATGTTTTATGTGAAGCGTGACTCGAGTTTCATTGCATTAAATACCTTGTCTTATACGTTGTATAATTTTGTTTCATTCTCTCCAACCAGAGCGAAAACGACAGCAAGGACAGAGTTAGTATGATTTTTTTTTCTCATTATGCATATGATTGATATGTTGATAATGTGAACGAAACAAGAGAAAGTATAATTTCAATTTTAATTGAGACAATAGTTAAACAACGATTTCTACTGGCCAAATATACTGTTACTGAAGTTTGAAAATAATGAAAGATCGAAGTAGTTATCACCAATTTTAAATGAATGGAACACTTAAATGTAGGCTTTACATATTAGTAAAACAAGAAAAAGTTTTATATCAGTTATTATCGAAATTTCATCCAGAAACACTCAAATACTTCAGTTTTTTCATGTTTAGAACGAATGCATCATCACTCACAATCTTGCTAGAGTAATTTTTGCCTTTTATTCATTCGTATTATGTGTATAATTAGACATTTTGTTTTCTTGTGTTATATTAACTGCTCTTCTTTTATTAATTTCTACGATTCATAAATAAATCATATTCAAATTTTATTTATTCATATTAAGCTCACACAACGTAAACGTGTGTGAAAATGACAACGAGAAAAATTTCTGTTCTACACAAACATGCATTTATTGATAATTATTTTTTGCTTGTATGCATGTGAAAGAGAGTCAGACATGTTTGCATATAATTGGCAAATAATGAGAAGAATCGCTCATAGTTTCTTAGCTGAAACTGGTAGAGATCTTGAAGACATGAACCTTTCTTACTTTCAAAATTCACAAGTAAAAAAAGCACGATAATTGAATCGTATGCTTGTTGTTTTTGTTTGAATAAAGAAAGATGATATCATCAATGCTTAACTTGATCATTATATATTTTTAACTTACATAAATTTGTATTACAAGTACATAACTAAAAACTTACGTTTTCGGTAACTGAGAAACGGTCTAGTTATAATATTTTTCTTTTATTAACACTCATTAGTAAGCTCATATCCGAATTGATAAAAAAATTGCTAATAGTGAACAAATAGTAACATTGCATTGCTATTTTCTACACAGAATATTGAAAAAATGCAATAAAAGTTTTAAATGTAAAAATGATACAGATGATATCAATACAGTCGTATTATCGTGGCATGCTGCATATTCATATATTTCGAGTTTTTTATTCATTTGATTGATACACATTTTGATGCCTAATCAACAATAACTGATTAAAAGAAATTAAAGCAACAAAAACTGTGTTACCATGCACAACGAGTAAATAAATTCATATAAACATAACTATGAGAATTAATAACTGGCCATTTAAAACCCCTTCAAAATTTTATGAATATCTTCAATTTAATAAAATCTATACATTTCAAGTATTTTAATTCTGCAGGAACATAATCAATAAGTAAAAAAGTAAATTTGAATACAACAATAGTTTATCAAAACATTTTAAAGAAATTCAGTTTAATTTAATTTTTGTTGTTTTAGTTCTTTTCATCAGTTATTGTTTGTTATGAATAAAAGTTAACTCATGTTACAGATGATGTCTTCTTTGCTAATCATGATCGACTCAGAAAGATCGAAATTTCAGTTATACATGTAAAATTAAATTATACTGCATTTCTTGGGTGTGGATGTGGGTGTGGGTGTGGGTGAGTGTGAGGTAGATCAATTTCCACACCCACGACCACACACACCCGCCATAGTTGTTGAATCTATTTTGCTACTCACTTAGATTTCTTTTCATTTTGCTCATGGGCGTTAGTAACATTTTCACAATGAATATATCTTTACTCTTACCATAGCTGAAATAGTTCACTGTTGAATTACAAGATGTGCGTCAAAAGCTTTGAAATAATGCCTTCCTTCACTTTTCGATCCATTAAGAGGATCAGGCAGAGTTTTATTACATTGATCTAGAATGAGAATTTGGTGAGCGAATCTTTGAAAGAGTTTCAATTCACAAAACGACTATCTAGTATAGGAGAGCAACCAGAGTATAAATTTTCTCAAACAACGATAAGAGCCAGGATTTCTTTACAAAATAATACTCTGTTGAATAGTATTATGAATGGCACATATGAGCGATGAGGGTTTTGGCTAAGAGCGAAAATGACATGTTCACGATTTCTGAATTTCCAGACTTAAAAAACTCTATTACCGAGACAATTGTCAATGGTGTGAGTACTGTTTGTAAAAAAATTCAAAATAAGATATAGTTAAACAAAAGGAAGTCAGATTAAACTATAAATCGAACGTTTTTACGGCAATTAGCAAAGATATTGATAATAAATATGATTGAAAAACATTATGGAATCAATTTCGGACAAGATGCGATCCTATTTTCTGTATCTGCATCGATTAGTACAACTCTATGCCGCAATTTGAAAAGAATACGAAGTTCTGATTCAAAGACGATATTGTAAAATTTCTGCGAACCTTCTCCGAATTGTTCGAAAAATGAATAAATATCTTGTCTCAACAGTTCTCGGCTTAATCGTTAGTATATTCAAAAGAAAAATATGTAAAATAGGTTTTGATGAAACATAGGGGCAATTTGTTCATGCATTTATCGCTAAACTTTCCGCCTTTTTCTAAATTTTTGTCTTGTTTATTTATTTTTTTTGTAAATACACAAGTTACGACATTATAATACTACCAAGCCCACCATTGAATATTTTTAGTCTTAAGAAAAGATTCACTATATTTCGATTAGAGGTTGTGTGTGTCTGTAATAATATGTCTATATAAATAAAGAGTGATTAGAACCGAATTGAAAGATTACATATTGAATCCATCTAAAGAATTTTCTTTCAATTAATTACGAAAAAGATTAGTTTCTAGATGCATTTAACTCTGGTTATGTATGAGGATCCTTCTCTGATGTGGTAACACTCGCATCTGTATATAATATTTTTAGTAAAATATTTGAAAATACAGGGTAATTTTCTTTATGCTTTATTTCTTTTCTATTTATTTGCTTCTTCCAAAAAAACAATCTTCGAATATAGTTTCGTCATATTGAGCATTGATTTAATTGTATGTGCATAAATACGCCTGTCAGAAAACTCTTACTGTATACTTGCGTGCATAACTAAAATGATATTTATGGTAAATGTATTTTAACAGAAAATATATCAAGAAATATATTTCCTATAAAAATGGATGTTGAACCACTGATTCTATCAACATCTATTCCGTATGATACATTGACAACAA